CTTCAAACTCGCAAATAGAAAAAATTATTTTAAAATGTAAAGGGTTTTCAGATGCTATATTTTAATTTACTAGCAACGATATTTCAAAATGCAATGGGTTTTGAACATGTTTACGTTATTGCGGGAGGTGATTGCAGGAGCAACGGCTCGAATCTATGTGAGGTGGGAAAAAAAATCTTGTGATGAGAACCCAACGTTGGGTTCTCTGACCAATGAATAAATTTTATTTCAAGTAAATGACATTAAATTTCTTTGGTCTTTTTTTTTTTTGTTTCCTTTTTTTCCTTGCGAGTTGGGTTTCCGTACACTAAAAAGTTTTAAACTAAAAAAATGTTATTTTCAAATAACTGAACATCCAAACTCACAAATAGAAAAAAATTATTTTAAAACGTAAAGGGTTTTCAGACGTTATTTTTTAATTTAGTAGCAACTATTTCAAAATGCAAAGGGTTTTGAACGTGTTTACAATATTGCCGGCGGTAATTATAGGAGCAACGGCTCAAATCTATGTGAGATGGGGGGGAAAATCTCGCAATGAACCCAACGTTGGGTTGTCCAACGAATAAATTTTATTTAAAGTAAATGACATTAAATTTGTTTGGTCTTTTTTTTTCTCTGTCCTTTTTTTCCCCTCCCAAGTTGGGTTTCCGTATACTAAAAAGTTTTAAATTAAAAAAATGTTATTTCAAATAACCGAACGTCCAAACTCGTAAATAGAAAAAAATATTTTAAAACGTAAAGGGTTTTCAGATGCTATTTTTTAATTTAGTAGCAACCATATTTCAAAATGCAATGGGTTTTTAACATGTTTACGTTATTGCGGGAGGTGATTGTAGGAGCAACAGCTCAAATCTATGTGAGGTGGGGAAAAAATGTTGCGATGAGAACCCAACGTTAGGTCCTCTGACCAATGAATAAATTTTATTTCAAATAAATGACATAAAATTTGTTTGGTCTTTTTTTTTCTTTTTCCTTTTTTTTCCTCGCGAGTTGGGTTTTCGTACTAAAAAGTTTTAAATTAAAAAAAATGTTATTTTCAAATAACCGAATGTCCATACTCGCAAATAGAAAAAATTATTTTAAAATGTAAAGGATTTTCAGACGCTATTTTTTAATTTAGTAGCAACCATATTTCAAAATACAATGGGTTTTGAACATGTTTACGTTATTGCAGGAGCAACGACCCAAATCTATGGGGGGGGATGATGCGATGAGAACCCAACGTTGGGTTCTCTGTCCAATGAATAAATCTAATTTCAAGTAAATGACATTAAATTTGTTTGGTTTTTTTTTTCTTTTTCCTTTTTTTTCCTTGCGAGTTGAGTTTCCGTACACTAAAAAGTTTTAAATTAAAAAAATTTTATTTTCAAATAACTGAACGTCCAAACTCGCAAATAGAAAAAAATATTTTAAAACGTAAAGTGTTTTCAGACGCTATTTTTTAATTTAGTAGCAACTATTTCAAAATGCAAAGGGTTTTGAACGTGTTCACGATATTGCCGGAGGTGATTGTAGGAGCAACGGCTGAAATCTATTTGAGGTGGGGGGGGGGATCCTTGTGATAAGAACCCAACGTTGGGTTCTTAGTCCAATGAATAAATTTTATTTCAAGTAAATGACATTAAATTT